ACCCCCTATCTCACTTACTGCATCGTTGCCGAGTTGGATATCCTCTACAAAACACCGCCCAACAAACAATTATCTCACATCTCATATATGTTGACGATATAAAATTATATGCTAAAACAGATAAAGAAATGAAAAAGCTTTTAGAAGTCACTACAAATTTTAGTAAAGATATTAACATGAAATTTGGACTAGAAAAGTGTAAAATAGTACATATTATTAGAGGTAAGGTACAACTCGGCAACTACACAATCGATGATAACAATACAATTACAGCTTTAGAGCCAAACGAAGTATATAGGTATTTAGGGTATAACCAGTTAAAAGGTCTTGATCACACTTCGATAAAACAGCAGTTAATAACAGAGTATAGAAAACGTATAAACTCAATATGCAAATCCCAACTTTCTAGCAAAAATCTTATAAAAGCCTTTAACACCTATGCTATTCCGATCTTAATATACTCTTTTGGCATTATAAGGTGGTCAAAAACTGATATAGAACTAATAGAAAGAACTACTCGAACCATACTTACGAAACATAACAACTTGCATCCTAAATCTGCTATAGAAAGACTTACTATTAAACGACAGAACGGAGGCAGAGGTCTAATAGATATAAGTCACATGTGGCAAAAACAAATAACAGGACTAAGAACCTTCTTTCGTTCAAAATCTAACACTAGTACTTTACACAAAGCAATCGTCCAAAATGACCAAAATTACACTCCCCTAAACCTAAATAATCAAACAAATACAGAAATTTCTACAATTAGTGAACTGCAAAATCAAAAAATAGAAAATTGGAAGAAAAAAACACTACATGGAAGGCACCCTCATGATCTAGAACAAACACATATAGACAAAACGGCATCGAATCAATGGCTGAAAATAGGCAATTTATTCCCAGAAACAGAAGGGTTCTTAATTGCAATACAAGATCAAATCATAAACACCAAAAATTACAGAAAATTTATTATTAAAGATCCAACCATATCTAATGATAAGTGTCGCAAATGCCATATTCAGCCTGAAACAATTCAACATATAACAGGGGCATGTGTAAGTCTTACACAAACTGATTACACACACCGACATAATCAGATAGTCAACATCATTCACCAAACCCTAGCACAGAAACACAAGCTTATTGAAGACACAAACACTCCATATTATAAATATACCCCACAAACCGTGCTGGAAAATTTAACATGTAAAGTATATTATGATCGAGCCATACTTACCGACAGGACCATCCATTATAATAGACCGGATATTACCCTACAAGACAAAATAAATAAAATAACTTACCTTATTGATATCGCAATACCCAATACACACAATCTCCAAAAAACAATAGCTGAGAAGATTAACAAATACGCTGAACTTAAAGATGAAGTCACAAGAATCTGGAAACAGGAAAAAGTTTACATAGTCCCGATAGTCCTTTCATCTACAGGTGTCATTCCCAACCATTAACACCATAGTCTAAAACAAATAGGTCTACGAAAAAATCTCTACATCTCCCTACAAAAGGCTGTTATATTAAATACTTGCAGAATAGTTAGAAAATTCTTAGATATAGATGAGGATGAAGTAGCCACCCGACATACACAAACATAACCTTCCATTCAAACATACACACTGCACTTACTTGGTCACGTACCCGTAAGTGTAGTATAATTACCAGCGCTAAAAGCTGAGAAATAAGCAATTCAATGTAAATAATAATAAATAACAAATAACATTAAAATTCATAAAAACACAAATTTATTTTATCTCAAGTTATAAAAAAAGTATAATAGATTAAAACATCAATATATAACTAATAACAATAATAGCGGGAAAATATTATATAAATATTGTAGAAAGTTTACCTTAGGTTTATTATATGTATATTTTATATTATATATATAATTAAGCCAATTTACATTATTTTATCATTTAAATAGAATTTTTCTAAGGGAAAGTTCTTGCTTTAATTTTTTCTAAGAAAATGGTCTTGCTTTAAATCTTTTTGTCGGAAATTTCTTTTATTTCCGAAAGTAACTTACTGTAGCCTCGTATTGCCATTACGTAACAGCTGTCGCTCTATAATGTTGTTGACATTGAGGATTGCACCAGTTTACAGGGAATCCTTCTAAAAGATTTTTTTTTAATGGATGATAATGGAATGGTAACCTTCCTGCGGTAACGTTATACGCTGGCTGGGCACCAGTAAGGGACGATAGGTGAAAAGGCAGGCTAGTCAAGCCCATCGTGATGAGTACTTGGAATTCAGTAAGATGGTATTAAGACCACGTGGAGGTTGACCTGATAGAGTATAATGCTAGGAACGGGTAGTCCGCATTACTACACCCCTTCCCCCACACCACTACAATTGTCAATTATCTATATTTTAAAGTTTATTTCAAATAAGTGCAGGTGCGTTTTAATTAATATACATGATTCATATATATATAATAAATTACCAGAGGGAGACTTTGTACAAAAGTCGATTGCTTGGGTACCTCTGTCCCATTCGTGTTTCAACCGTGAAGCAGTTGTGTTTGCATGGCTGTGTTTCGGTTTATAGGGTGGGATATGGCGTGAAATTACTGGGTACAGAGGAATATATACAGGAGTTGCCCAGGAAGGGCAACGCATGGGGGGGGGTATCATGTGCGAAACAGTATACTCTGTTATGTCCATAGTATTACTCATGTCTATAGGCGACGGTTACCACTTTCCATCAGGTGGGCCGTCAGCTTGTTTGCCATTCTAAGTTGTATAAAAAAAATACCAATCAATTTTAGCTTATTACACTGTTTTGATATTTTCTTTTTCAATAAAGTTCAATAGCTAAAATAGGTTTATAAGAGGTTTGACGTTGAAAATAGCAGTCGAAGATTGATGGCTAATAGGAAGGTTGTGCAACTTCTGTTAGTAAACGGTGGTTAATCTTCGAGTGTTTGAAGTAAGTCACACACACGTATATGTTGTTTTTCTACTAGTCTATATGCGGTTCGCCATCATACCAGAGGAGACTTGGGCACCTCTATCTCATTCTTGTTTCTACCGTAAAGCAGTTGTGTTTGCATGGCTGTGTTTCGGTGTGAAGGGTGGAATATGGCAGTGAATTTATGGTACAGGGTACAGAGGAATAACACCTGAGTCCTCAGGAATGGCAACGCATGGAGGGCATCATGGGTGAAACACTATACTCTATCATGTCCACGGTACTGCTCATGTCTATAAGCGACGGTTACCACTTTCCATCAGGTGGGCCGTAAGTTTGTTTGCTATTCTAAATTGCATAAAAAAATCATATATTAGAAATATGAGTGAGACAGAGGTACCCAAGCAGGCGACAATATTCTCACTCTGAGAAACAATTTCAGTCCTCAAGCCAACGGTCGTATTGTCATATTTGAGGACATGTTTTTGACACTAAATGCTTCATCTATATGTATATTATCTATATCGAGAGTAAAATTATTCATTAAGTAGCTAAACTCTCGGCCGGAGACCAGATGTGTTTTCCAATGAAAACTGTAGCAGTGAAACTTTGAGGTCTGATTGCCCTCTTCTAAAATAACAGACTTATTTAATCTGGAGAAGTTATTGGCCCCGTTTTGTTTGAAGGTCACATCTAAATGTGTAAGCGTCCAGAGGTCTTGTTATAATAGAAAACAAGTGGATATAACAAAAATTTTTAAAAACAGCACTTTTAAATGAATGAATATTTACATAATTAGTTTATTTATTCATCTTTTTAACTGTTTGTGTCTGCTATATTTTTTTATATTGTTATCATGTTAATTGTATTTTTTAAGCGACTCTTGAAAGAATGAGTTATATTATTTAATTCATCTAATTTTTTGGTAAATTTAGTCTTTGTACGAAATTTTTCCTTTATGTAAATCGTGTATACATACACATATACATACACACGACATGTGTGTTGCAATATGCAATTTTAGGTATTTTATTATAACTGATTGATGAACGTTAAAATGCGAGAAATTGACCCAAAAATTTCACTTACAGATAAAGTATCTCTCATCATCTCACTCACCATTGATGATTTTTTTTATATAACTTAGAATCGCAAAGAAGCTGACGGCCCACCTGATGGAAAGTGGTAACCGTCGCCTATAGGCATGAGCAGTACCATGGACATAACAAAGTATACTGTTTCGCCCATGATACCCCCCATGCGTTGCCATTCCTGAGGACTCAGGTGTTATTCCTCTGTACCCAGTAAATTCACGCCATATCCCACCCTTCAAACCGAAACACAGCCATGCAAACACAACCGCTTCACGGTTGAAACACGAATGAGACAGAAGTACCCAAGCAATAGACTTTTGTACAAAGTCTCCCTCTGGTGATCTTGTTACTGTATGTGTTAAGATCATCAAAGACCTTTATACATATTTATAACGTCTGAAAATCATTGTCTCTTTCATTTAGCAATTACTTTAAAAACTAAAGATAAAGCTGAAAACGTTGATTTCGATGTTTTCATTGCCTCGTCGAATACGTTGTGTAATGTTCCGCCATCTTGTCTGTAAGACTGCACCTATATTGTCTGGTGACACACTTTACCCGACCAACGTTTTACGGTTTTATTTGAAATTTCTCATTTACAGACTTCTTATAAAAAGTTGCTTACTTACAATATCTTTTTCAGTTTTGTCAGTCACTGTTCATTCTATCCGTCAATTTATGTATTTCTATTATTGTGTATAAATACCTAATAGGGTTAATGTCTCAATTATTAGCAATCAGGTTGACTTTCACGCGGTACTCCTAGATACCATCGGTAATTCTTGATAAATTCGTCAGTATTGGGAATACAAGCACCTCAGTAGGTCCTGACATACTTTCATCCTCAGTGCTCCGCCACTTTATACCGATAGCGCATGCGGGGTTACCATTCCATAATTGTCCATTGAATATATATAGATATTTTTAAGCGATGAATAAACAATATTATTAACAAATAAACCGACCTTCCAGATGCGAATTCATTCCACCAAACGTCGAAGTGGATCGACGATGTGCGCACGGAACGCGGCTCGGACGTGATCATCATGTTGGTGGGCAACAAGACGGACTTGTCGGACAAGCGGCAGGTGTCCACCGAGGACGGCGACAGGAAGGCCAAGGAGCTCAACGTCATGTTCATAGAGACCAGCGCTAAGGCTGGATACAATGTCAAACAGGTAAGCGGGACAGCATATTGCTATTACAGTAATCCCCCCTATAACACGGTAGATTCGTTTCGCGTTACAGAAAAACTTGTAGGAGTATTCTCGTATAACGCGTTATGTACAAATAATACACGTTTAACTGTTCTCATTAAAAGAGGATTTAAATCGAATATTAAGAAAAAACAATGTTATAAACGAAATATCGTCATAGTCGTAGAATACTGACGGATCTTTATATGTAATATTTGTCAGAACCGTCAGTATTCTACGAATATGACGATATGTGTGTTTAATTAAAATCAAACTAAGAATATTACAAATACAAAACTTAACTAAAAAACAGTTAATTTCAAATAAATTAATAGTTTTATAACATGTTTATTCGCTGTCGGAATTATCTGAAATAACGTTCCATCGACATCTTTTTTTAATAGAATTTTCAATTATTAGTATGTATTATACGAGGGATTTAAATCGTGTAATATGAATACAGTGTTATAAGGGGATTACTGTACTTTTTAAAATTGTTAGCCTAATGAGCGGTTGACCACAAACGGCGAGCAAGACAATACAGGCGTCCATAGGCTACAGTAACCGTTTACAATCAGATGGGCTGTATGCTTGTTTGTCACCATAGTAGTATAAAAAAATTGCTGCCAGCAAGACGCTCACATCTGACGAAGCGATACAATAAAGAACTCAACGTCATATTCATAGAGATGCGCCAGAGCCGGATGTAATGTCAAACAAGTTAGCATGCCACTCACGTAGATGTCTAGGTCTAGGATGTTTAGTAAGCGTGGGTAATATATGTATATGCTTCGATATTGGGTTTCTCTGGAAATTGATGGTGGAAAAAAAGGTCATCACATTCGGATATCTTCATTCGTTTCAATCGGGTGCTTCATTTCAATATTATATATTGGACAACCGATATATAATATATATTTTATTGGGTCAATATATACATATTGTAACTACAGTATATAGATATTCCTGTATATTACCCATTTCTAGATTTTTTTATGGAACTTATAATGGCAAACAAACTGACGGCCTACCTGATGGAAAGTGGTAACAGTCGCCTATAGACATGAGCAGTACCATGGACATAACATGGTATACTATTTCGCCCATGATACCCTGCATGCGTTACCATTCCTAGGACTAGATTTTAGTACTACTTCGAATAGCAAGCAAGCGAACGTCTTACCTTATGGAAAATGGTATCAAAACTGTAGAGATCAAAGAATATACTGCAACTGTCATGATATTCTTTACACCATGTACCGGATTTGTGTCAGACAAGTTCGCAAGCGATAAATGTCCACCGCAGTCGGTGACAGAAAGGTGAAGGAACTTAACATAATGTTCATGGAAACAGCGCGTATCGGATATAACTTTAAGCGAGTTAGCAAGCTAGTCACGTACTAGATATTAAATGGGAATGACGGAACTGGCGCGGGGCGAAGGTGCTACAGATGGCGCCATGTAAATCTATAAAGCTAATGATCCTTCCCTTCCTTTCGACGATTACGTTGCAGCCACACCGCTCCAACACAACAAGCTAGCGTATATTGCTGTTAGTCCTATTGTTAGCAATATACGCTATCAGGTCGACCTTCATGTGGTTCCCCCTGGAAACCATCATGCTGAATTCCAGATGTATTCATCATGATGAACTAACTGACCTGCCTTTTCATTCTCACCTATCATCTCTCACTGGTGTCACGCCCGCGTGTACCGTTAGCGCAGGCAGGGTTAACATTCCATTATCATCCATTAAAAAAAAAGCACAACAAGCTACTTGTCATTAAATTAAAGCTTTAAGGCATATGTAATGTAGACGTTACTTGATGGTGGCGGCACCGGCGTTTGGTTTTGCCATGTGTAGCCTATATCTTGCATTTGTTAAATGTATTATATTCTAACCATACCATATCAGCCGTTAACTGTCCACTGCTGAACATAGGCCTTCCCCTATAAGGAGGGTTTTGCCAGTAGTTGCCACGCTAGGCAGGTCAGCAATTGCAGTTGAGATTAGGTGATGTTTTAAGAGTAACGCTGCTGTCCATCCCGCAACATTTAAGTTCTCTTAGTCGCTTTTACGACACCCATGGGAAAGAAAGGGGTGGCCTATATTAAAGTAATAAAGTTGCCATATTGCCGTGCGGTACCAGTATAGAATAGGCTACCCCTTCCTTTCAAGTGGGTGTCGTAAGAGGTGACTAAGGGAGGGCGAGAGATGGACAGCAGCGACCCATTTAAAACATCTCCAGAGCCTAACTGCGATTCCCAATCCGCCTGCCAAGCATGGCACTACTGGAAAAACTACCAAAGGGGGAGGCTTATGTTCATATAATAAGGTACGGTCCATCTGTGTGTGTGTGTCATTCAAATTTGTTCACACAATTTAAACTAAATTTTTGTGCCAAGTAGTGAGTTGTCAGTATTCTTACATTTAGTTATAATGTTGTTTATTGCGCGATGGTTACCACTTTCCATCATGCGGCTGACAGTTTGTATGGTACAAAAAAAATGATAAACCGCAGCCAGTGCCTTATTCTAATTAACTGAGGTTGCTACGATGGTAGACAAAAATAATGTATGTATTTAAAACAACACTTTGGCTGTTTTATTCGCTGGTTGCGCGGTATGGCACTGTGTGGCATTTTGTCTTTTGAAACTGTTTAAGAAGTCGGTTGAAACTTAAAAAAAAGGATATTCACAATTCGGTTGTATTTTTTTTTGTTTGTTATTTCATGACTCAGTTAATTCTAAATCTATTTGGAAAATTTTTTTAATGTCTGAAAGCATATACTTACAGATTGGCGCAAAAGAATTTTTTTTTCAAAATCCGTTCAGTTGTTTAGTTTTTAAATCAAAATGATGGAAGTTGGGTTTTTTTGTGGGACTCAATCTTTAATTTTTTGTATATAAATAACTTTGTAAATATTCCCGAATTCCCGAGTCAAGTCATGCCAGAAATTTGTTGCCTGAAGTCTGATGAGGAGCAAGTACTTGGTGGCGTTTATTATATTACATATTATAGTTGTTGACGTAAATAATTTATTCATTTCAGTTATTCCGACGGGTGGCAGCTGCGCTTCCCGGTATGGACTCCGCCGAGAGCAAGCCACCTGAAGACAGTATCCTTTTACATTTTAGATATAACCTATACAAAAATTTAAAAATATTTCTATGACATGCCATACAATTAATTTATTTCTACATGAGTGTCACAAATATTCTTTTTGCGTATTTTTAACTCAAAAGTGAAATAGTTTGATACAAATTTATTCAATTACATTTTGACTCTGAGACATTTTCAGGCTCTTTCAGACTTTTGAAATGTTTCATTCTTTATTATTTTTTCAATTATTGGAATATACAGTTTGTAGGGTATAAGGGAAAAAGTCTTAACTTCCCCAAGGAATATGATTCGAAACATGAATTTTTTTTTACATTTCATACAAACTGACCGTGTGGTTGGTAAACAGTTTAATATGAAAAATTCGAAATTGCATTTCGATTTCCTTAGCAAAAGATGTTCACTTACGTGAATTACATACAAATTCTGAATTATCATTATTGCGTTACACTTTATCTACACTATGGTTATTGGAATATATTTTTGATTAAAAATCGGTTCTAAAGAATTTTTTAAAACAATATTAGACACTATGATATGATTTCAGGTACAATTCGTGTCAAACATATTCATATAAATTTTAATATTCTTATCACGAGATTTAATCATGTACTTACCTAATGATTAAGAATTTAGCGTTCACTTTTGTGCCGTCAAAGATTAAATATTTAGATACCAAATAAATACACAGTTACAGTACTACCATTTTGATAAGTTACGACTATGAAGACTGTTTGGTATGCTTTTCACGGGAAAAAATATCTTTTATTTACTGGTAATTAAGTCAATTGTCGATACTTGAGTATGGGACATGAGCTCTCGATCATGGGACAATTGGACAACAAAATTATGTTAAAGATAAAATTGTTTTGGTGTCCCATTTCGTTGACCCATTTTGTTGTCCCATTTTATTGTCCCTTAACTGGTATATATAACACAGCACCCTATATTATCTGTTTCTGCACAATCGATATTTACCAATGTAACTTATTATTGTGGTAGTACAGTACACACATTCACGCTCCATACTAGCACATTATGACACTGTTATTTACGTAATTTATGTATAGCGCTAATACAATATAACGCTACTTTGATGTTTGATTTTAAATGTGACAGAAAACAGGGCAAGAAGATGGTGTGAATTGTTCTCGTTTGTTTCGTATGTGAAATTAGCTACAATGTTGTAAATTTTGTTGTCCTATCATAAATCATATTTTGATTATGTGGGACAACTGATTGAGTGATAACTGATTATTTATATTTTAGTTTAATCTCAACGACTTTCATATCGTAACTGCCTAATCTCGTCTCAGTTTCTATTGCATTTGTTTGGGAAATATACTTTTTAAAATTAATATTTCCTTAAAATTTCTGAAGCGAACTACAATTTATTTCCAGTTTATTTTTGCATTTATTGTATTTGGATACAAAGTTCTTAAGAATGAGTGCAATGGCGGACTTATCCCATAAAAAGGATTTCTTTCTGTCAATACTTGAATGTCTGATAGAAATTATGAATTAGTAGAGACAAAAAAAAAATAGCTTTTTTAAAAAATAGTAAGAGTTGCAGTTACAAGAATTACGTTTAAAAGGATTGTGCTTTGTAGACCCTGTAAACTAAAGACAGTACAAGACGCTGCACGTTGCCGTCTCTTTCTATCTCATGCTAATCGCAGCGATAACGTATCTATTGTTCAATTGTCACTTGTCTACGATGTTTGGATGTAGATTGGTTACTCGTTGTATTTTTACTCCATAATTGTTCTCAATTCAATTAAGAAATAGTCTTCAAATGACGTTTTTTTATTTGATCACGTTAGTAGCTAATTTCACTCGTGTTGACCGACGGTGTTACGCGTGGATCCCGTGTGTTCGGTGGTGGTATTAACGTCTAACCTGTTGTAAGTAAACTCACGTTACTAATGTGGATCGTGACGCTAACAGTGTGTGTTCGCTATACGGTACGCTGGTGAATTATAACTATATATTTATATGTTAATGGTGTTTACGCCTTTACTAATAAAGGATGATGAAATAATGATAAAATGGTGGACTGTAAAACTGTTATTCTCGTTGTAGTTATTTGAATTCGACTAAAACAATGTAAAATAAAAGTAATATGTAAAGTGCCGTCGGTGGCGTGACACAAAGTGGCGAACAGAGCCGAACTAAACCGAGATCGCCCGACGGCTCTCAGTGTTGCCGTTCGATGAAGCTCGGACAAATTGAATGCAACCGAAATTGTTAATATAACAGAAAAGTATTGGATGTGTGTCTGTATGAAGAGTTTTTAAGTTATTTGTAATGCAACGAGAACTATATAATGCGATATGTTTGATGATATTACATCGAAATTATTCGTAGGTCTAGTATGAACTAAAGTCACAAAAAACAAAAGATTTAAGTTATTAATACTTACTGGATTTTTTTTTATATACAACTTAGAATGGCAAACAAGCTGACGGCCCACCTGATGGAAAGTGGTAACCGTCGCCTATAGACATGAGCAGTACCATGGACATAACAGAGTATACTGTTTCGCCCATTATACTCCTCATGCGTTGCTATTCCTGAGGACTCAGATGTTATTCCTCTGTACCCAGTAAATTCACGCCATATCCCACCCTTCAAACTGAAACACAGCCATGCAAACAACTGCTCCACGGTTAAAACACGAATGGGACAGAGGTACCCAAGCAATCGACTTTTGTACAAAGTCTCTCTCTGGTACACATAACATTTTTAATTAAAAAATATTGTTTAAATATCTAAATTCTTAATTTAAAATTTAGAGATAAGTTTAGAGAATTCTATACAGGTAAAACAGTTTTATTTTGCAGGATTATAGATTGCGTTGCATTACAAATAATTTTAGCGCCCTCTACACAAACACACCTAATCCCATTTTTCTGTTATATTCACTTGATCACTGTCATTGTCATTATTTAATGATCATTCTTATCTGTTTTTTTTTTCGCGAAACTATAATATCGTCTTCAATTTATAAGAACTTGTGACGTACACCCAATACTCCAACAAACTCCAAATTTTGAATTCGTCTATCCATTACTTAGTGAATTATTAAAATAGCAACTTTCCAGTAGTACAGTGATTCATCGTGATTGCGTTATAAAAAAACTTCGACTTTTGGTAGCGCATATATACATATATATATAAAAAATTTAAAGTGACTCTTCAAAGTTCTCTGTAATTTCCGTTTACGTCCGGTTGATTTTTCGCGTCTATTTTTTTCTTAGTGGAGTATTTCTTCGTTTGAGAAACAGTGATAATAACCTAGCAGCTCCTCTTCCAACTAACAGGTCCATACTGGTATGTGGCCATATTAATATTTGTTATTATTATTATTTGTCTAGTAATCTATGTTTAATCATGTATATATATTTAATTAACTAATTTATTAATGAAAAGTATTATAAATGTGCTTTTTTGTGTGTGATTTATCTTTATGCAGTTGTATGTAGTATTGCTTCTTAATTTCTACTTAAATTACGTAGCAAGCACTTATTTCTAACGCTTGTATGTACGATTTACATCAAACGGTGTGCATGGAAATTTATTTTATAAAACCGAAGGAGGCAAAGAAATATTTGTATGAAACCTACAACTTTGTAAACCTAATCGCGCTTAAATGTAATTTCGCTCAGACGCGCATATTTTAATGTAAATCGTCCATAACATATACCTTCCACAGCTTAATAGCGCTTCATGAATACTTTACAATATCTACACTTTATTTAGCTTAGTTTTCTGATTTCTGTAGATTTTTTCGTTTTTTCCTTAATATTATATGTGTACAGTGCACGAGGTGATCCTCCGACAAGCGCCCGGCGACAACAAGGAACCAGATGGCGGATGCGCGTGTTAACTCTTACCGCCTTATCTATACTAGATATCAGACTATGCCAGGTACCAAGCAATTTGTCGTCCTAGAACGCAAGGGGTGTTCAGAGGCGTCAAGGACAAAGATACCGACAAATAACTGAAGCATGATCTTGATACGTGATTTGCGTAGCAACAATTTTGTTGTTCTCTGTCTTAGCTTCATTGTCTATGGTTTTGATTTAGTTATTTGCAGCTAACTGTACCGTTGGTTTATATTTAGTGAGTATGTGTAGACGTGTTTGTGGCAGCATACAGTTATGCGGTTAAACAGAAAATAATTATGACAGAAGTTTCAAGCTGTTATGCGAAGTTCTTTAAAAACTAAACGATCTCTATATTTGTAATCAGATTTATTCACTACATAAATTTATGTTTAATCCAAATATAATTTGGATGTACACATTAAATTCCTTTGTCTAACTTCCGGTAACATGTAAAAATGGCGGCAAATTAAGCGCGAAAATGTTTTCAAGACATTATTTTTAGCTATTATATTTATGTTATTTTTAAGTACCTATGTATTATAGTATAAAAAATAATGCTCATGATTGTCCACATTTCGTCGAGCATATTTAATTGGGCGAGCCTACGGCCGTCATTTGGAATAATTTGGTATTAGTATAAAAAGTAGAGAAATAAAAATGTATCCAGGACGACAAAGTGCAGTAACCGATCTAATTGTCATGTGCTTTTGTGTGTGTTACGGTGATATTAGATTTAATGTACTTTCAAGTAGTTTCGATTTAATATGAGTTGATACATTCTTTGAGTGTTTTCGTAAACAATAAATTACTTTAATAAAAATATCGAATACGTGTGCAATAAAAATACAATTGTATGTGTGCTTATATTCGTATCGTTAAGGCGTCAGAGTTTATTATTGGAATGTACGATTTTGTACGAAGATCGATTCAATTGCTAATGGTTATCGATATTTTTGAAATGCGCATTGAATTTTTTTTTTTATTTTAATCTGTCGACTTCCATTGTTATTATGGGACACAGGTTTACAAGAGCTCTTTATTATTAACAATACTAATTAAAATAATTATAATCGTATATATTTTATATAGGCTTGTATATTACATTCATTTAAATTTAGAATCAAACATTCCAATGTGTAAATTTTGGGTGCAACGATTTTCATTCGTAACAACCTGACAAAACTGAATCTTATTTCAACGACGTAAGGTCAAATTTGAATAGGTTTGAAACAAATTTCACCTGTTTAAATTCAACCTTATTTCAATTTTGTAGGGCTTAATTTCGTCAAGTCTACATCTCACAACCGTTACGAATTTGTAATTAAAGCACCATAGTACCTATTTCGCGCCTTTTTTCATGATGCATCTTATACACAAAAGCACGGTTCTCGCGTAGCGTTGCTGATGTCAAGCTTGTATTGTTTAGAGATGAGGGATCTATCCCAGGGTTCACGTCTAAGACTGAAGCTCGACGTTACGCCATCAGTAGATTACTTTAAACTAAGCTTAGACTACACGCATTAATTGTTTTTAGGATTTTGTATCTCGAGGCGAAAATGGAACCGTTCTGATCACTTTGTGGTCGTCTCTCTTTTATTTAAGACCTCGGTTTTTTTAAAGAATGCATACAGTTGAATTGTTTTTGATTTTCTGATACCAATTGACTAAGATAATTCAAAATTGATGCGTGTATCCATATAAATTACCTATTTGTTCATAATAAAAACTGTATATTGTCAGGTGCTCATATTAATTTTCTAAAATTATGTGGATTTAAAATTATATTTAACTTGAAGCCTGTCCATAGGCGATGTGTTGATATCGTAGTTTCTTTGGGTGTATAGAGATTGTTCATACAGGTCATACGGATTGTAATTAACTATTTATCACAATGTATTTAGTTTAATTTAATGTCACAGTCAAAGATAACTTTCATTTTATACTCTGTACTATTAATACTCGCATAAAAAGTGCGTGGTATTTTCTCTTTTCAAAATAAGCTTTTTAGCTATAGATTTTATTTAAATTTTTTTTTTTCGTATTAAATTTCAGATGTGCATAGGTACTATTCCCATCCATTGCTGAGTAGTTAATCAGTCCTCACAAATTATTAATTATTTATTTTAAAATGTTCGTAGTCTTGTACTGCAATAAATGTTATAATTTGTATTTACCAGAGGGAGACTTTGTACAAAAGTCGATTGCTTGGGTACCTCTGGCCCATTCGTGTTTCAACCGTGAAGCAGTTGTGTTTGCATAGCTGTGTTTCGGTTTGAACGGTGGGATATGGCGTGAAATTACTGGGTACAGAGGAATAACACCTGAGTCCTCAGGAATGGCAACGCATGGGGCGTATCATGGGTGAAACAGTATACTCTGTTATGTCTATGGTACTGCTCATGTATATAGGCGACGGTTATCACTTTCCATCATGTGGACCGTCAGCTTGTTTGCAATTCTAAGTTGTATAAAAAAAAAATTGATCGAAGTCAGAACCATAAGCAGACGATTTGACTTGACATAACTTGCCATATGCAAAATTGAGCCATCAAACACCTAAATACATTGTGGTTGGTACCAGTGGAGGGATGTGAGCTACTGTTTGTTGTATATAGCACGACCGCGGTACATTCTGCGTACACATTTGCAGTTCTTTATTTTCCAGTGTTGCTTATGGTACACGCGATAAAAAAGCAGTACGCTATCGGTTTACGATAGCTGTTTATCACCATGATGTTTATGGTGGTATAATATTGAGATGGATTGATACCGTTGATGAATATGACGGATCACCGATTATTCATAATTTCTTTTTTATAATTCGTACTAATTAAACGATTTCTTTAATGGTGGGCCCGGTGGGGGGGGGGGGGGGGTCTTATTTTCGTTTTAAAGTTTTTATTTTCCTGAATGAATTTATTATTTTATTTTATTAGAAAAAGCGTTTAAAGCAAAATATATCAATAACTAAATTGTAATAAATACACACGTAAAAAAAAAAACAAAAAAAAACTCCTTGGGCGACCCTTTACTAATTTATATATATAAAAAAAAAATGTACTTAAATTTATGTTATAAACATTGAGTTTAAAAAGGAATGTAGAGGAATACTAATGAATATAAGTGATCCAATAACATCAGCGCTTTCATATCATATGTCGAATTATGTATTTACATAAGTAAAATGTATGTAAATATTGCAAATGTCTCTTAAAATGTACCGCGGTCCATGTATATTTAGTATTATTTATTTATTTAGTGCTTAAGAACGGAGTTTTTGATACATCTATAAAGAAATAGTGAGTTTTACACAGCTAGCTTCAGTAATTGTATTTACCGTACCCATGCAAACCTCGCAAGTGTAGGCACTTGCAGTCCGACATTCCGCTATGTTCATTATAATCATTGCAAACAATATTTAAAATGTTTTTCTAATTTTTATCAGTGATATTCGTTCTGCTGTCAATTAATAATTATACAGTTAATAACTAATTTATATTTAAAAAATGCTTATTTAAAATAAATTATTTTTATAACATGAGTTTTTTAAAATATTTTCTTTTCATACCTTATTATAGAAATATTAATTTACTATATAACTTTTAAGAAAATAATAACTCCGTCAAAACTTAAACTGTTAGGGAGTGTTCACATCAAATATGTAGCCAACAACGTATCGTGAGCCAGTTTGAGCACATTCACAATTTTTTTTTCATATTTTCCCTTGTTTTTTGTGAATTCTCATTAGTAAAGATGATTTTCATGAGTATTTATTGAGCTATCCCTAGTAATTTATTTCTTATTTACTATTTATTATACTAGTTATATGATTATTAGAACGCAGCTTTGTTTCGGTTTGAAGGGTGGGATATGGCAGTGAATTTACAGGGTACAGAGGAATAACATCTTAGTCCTCAGGAATGGCAAGTATAGGGATGTCATGGACGAAACAATATACTCTGTTATGTCCATGGTACTGCTCATGTCTATAGGTGACTGTTACCACTTTCCATCAGGTAGGCCGTCAGCTTGTTTGCCATTTTAAGTTGCAAAAAAAAAAAACTTTATTTTATCGGAGCTCACAGTGAATTTGCTCACAGTTGTTAGCTATTTGTTTGGTGTGAATGCGGCCTTAGTTTTATTACTTTTTAAATAAAAAATTTTGCTGCAATAAATGGGATGAAAGTAATATTGGTATAACAGACGTTTGAGATATTTATTCCTAAAGGAATTAGTGTATTTATTATAACATATCAATTAGTAAACATGTGTTCGCAGCGCTATACTTTAACAATTAACCAAGTCTTTGTAGAACAAACCAGGATGCGTGGCCCATTAGACCATCATTTCTATTTTGTTATAAGACCGTGTTAAGGGCGATTTGTAATAAAAAATATATGGTTGCTGCGAACTTAAAATATTTGCGTGTAATAATATAAATATTTTTGTACTTTATCGGATTAATAATATAATTAGTATGATAATGAATGACTAATGAAAACGTGAATGAATCACCGGAACTGTGAGGAATCAATCATGGGGTGATAGATACTTTGTAGTATCCATTGTTTTACTTATACCTGTTTATATCGAATTTATTAATATTTTAGAGGAGTGTCGTCGTTTTTAACCTTCTTCAAAAAAGGAGGTGGTTCTCGATTCGACGGAATCTTTTTTATCTATGTTCCCTGATTACTCGAAGACGCCTGTATTAATTCGATTTTTTTTTATTTGAAAGGAATAATTAAACCTTAAATTAATGATTAATGATTAATTAAACCTTTAATTATTAACTTTCAGATTGGTCCCATAAGAATTTTACTAAAATCAGTTCTTTAGTTTTTAATTTAAAATAACTGGATAAGTGAATGAAATTACAGGGTACACTGGCATAACACCTTAGTGCTCAGGAATGCCAATGCATGAAGGGTGGCATGGGCGACACAGTATATTCTGTTATGTCCATGGAACTGTTCATGTATATAGGCGAAGGAAAACTTTTTTTTCAGTTGGGCCGTCAACTTGTTCGTCATTCAAAGATGAAAAGAAAATTAAGTAAAAATATTTGCTTTTGTCTGATCTGACCCATGTGTATTTGGGGAAAATGGTCAGTCATACAGGTAGAACAAAAGGATATTTATTATTTACCCTTAAAAGGATATTAATATGATTTCTATTTAACCCTGTATATAAATCATATTTGTCAATTATTTTCCAGTGATAAAATATATGATAAAGTACTAAAATATTGCAGTTAAAAAAAAAATATTTATTTTTCCTTACGTCTGTGATGGTGGTTACTGGTTACGAGAGAGACGTTTGCACAGATAAAAAAATATGAGAATGCGCGTAGAAATCGTCGTCATATTTATATTTATATTAATTCTACATAAACATTACATTTTCAAATGTATTTATTAATATAATTATATAGCGAATATTTGTTGCTGTTTATAGCAACTATATTATCATCTGACGAGCTTTCGGAAAGATTATATAACCTCCTTCACCGAAGTATGGCGAAGACTACTATGCGTACACTACCTTTAGACTGCTAAAGCCTATATACCCACTGTATACAAATTATTGTGACACTACGCCCTCACATTTTGTTTTTATCAATGTGACAGTTTTAATTTGTAAATACCGGTCTCACGCTGATTTTGAATAAAATTTTAAAACACTAAACATTTGTTTTTGTTAATTGAAACAATGTTAACTGTTACCGCCCGATCGATTCCACCTAGACATGGGTAATGCTAGTTAATGCCTCGCAATTGCGTCAACTCACATCACTGCGCTGGATGTATCGACTTCCTTTTTTAAAATTAGTTGGCGTACAGTGCAGTACTGAGAAAAGTAAAAAAATACAAGCACAGAATAATTTTGTGGTATAAAACAAACTGCTTTTATTTTTATCTTTGCTTAATTTTGGCTCTTGTAAAAAAAAAACAGTACAACGATATGCGTTACTCTGTGCGTTGCGGCAAAATTTTGAGTTAATGAATCGGCGCAGTGGGTTGGTTGGCCCACGAAAAATCGTAGAGTTACCTATGTCTAATTCTAGCCTCTCTATACAAACATGTGGTAAACGAATTTATCGATAGATACGTTTTCGCTACTGCATGCATGAGAAAGCAATGTTCGGTGTCTTGGTCTTTCTCATACGTGCGATAACCAATACGTATCTGAGTGCTTACTGCGTGTTGTCATAAAGATTTAAATTACGATTTACGCTACTCAATAAATTTGTATAGAAAACTGAATCTCCGAAACTATTCGCTAGAAGAGCAGTATTCAGTACAAATTTATCTAGTTAACGTAAACGGAATCATAAATTTTTGCACTAGGCAGTCTGTACCTACATATAGATTCCTTTGCCTGTTATCTATGGGGGGCAGCTACCTAATAAAAGTAAAAAAATATTTTTACAATTGCTGTTTTAGTCTATGAAGTATTTTGTATTGACCTCCATAATGTGTTAACGTTTTAATTTCGTGTTAACACTATTCGACCTTAACTCAGTAACAGCGGTGGACCTGCAGACCCAGTCTCCCCTGGGCTCCGAACAGGAAGGCAACGAGAGCGGCTGCGTATGCTGAGCTACCATCTCCGACAATCGCCCCACCTCCACCCCCCTCGCGCGCCTCACCCCCCTCCGCGCAGACCCAGCCGCGACACCCGCACCGCTTCCATCACCGCGGAGCAACGATATTTGGACTTTGTACCTAGCTTACACCACATATGGGTACTCTATTCGACAACTGCTCTTATAAGGGGCGACGTAATGCCATCTTTAAAGATTTTTTTTATTATTATTTGATACTCGTGCAATTGTAGTTTCAAAATAGTCGAAACAATACGTGTGTTTCCCGATACGAAGTGGTGGACGCCCGGTCGCCTAGCGCACGGATTTCCGGACGGATTTTGATCTAGGTTTGTTGACGATTATACGTGATAATTATGTAATATCGGTAACTAGCTCAATTTGCTACGAATGCTTGCCTTATCTTGAATTTTTGATGTTAATATTAAGCAATAAACAACCATTGAAATATTTAGGATTTAGAAATTTTTCGTACTATATTTCAAATATCGAACGTGTATTATTTTTTTATTGGAATCGTAATTGGGTCTTTTCGTCCGGAAATTTCGGGTCTGTACTTACGCTTACCGTTGATGTGAGGTAGTGAGATTTAAAAATAACATCCAATACTATACATATTACACATGATGTAAATGCAGAAATTATAAGGTGTTTCAAAGACGATAATATTAAAAAAAAAAAAAATAGTTATCCATATAGGTATTCTTTGCAGTTCGCCCCAAAACAAATATAGTGTTTGTAAATTTTATATTGTAATCTCTGAAGTAGTTATGGTTAAAATTCTAGATTTTTCGATATAAGACTACCTAATAACTATGCAATTGAATGAACTGTTAAATTAATATTATCTAAGGTGTAATTGTTTAATAGTCATAAAATGTAAATATTAGGGGATTAACACATGGTGAGTGACACAAACTTGCACCGCTCAAACACACTGCCACTTCAGAAGATTCTACTATTCTGTAGTTTGCCGAGTTTTAATTCGAGTCAAGATACCGCTCTACTGTCTCGTGTGTTAATCCCCTTAAATAAATTTCCGCATATTATATTTAATTAATTATCAAATTGTCTATTAAATATGTAGTATGTTATTTTTAATTCTCATTACAATACAAAAAATAACGGCGTTCGTGTGTAGCCGAAATTGAATTTGGGCTTATTTGAGTATATATTTTTAGAGGCGCAACTCGAGAAGCGACGGGGCAAAGATGTGAAATTGGTGGGACAATCTACGATGTGATCGCGAGAAGCAAGGCTTTCGGTGCAATAATTTGTTTCGGGCCCTGTCGCCGTCTCGTGCGAGATTGCAGGTTTTTTCTATATCGAGTGGTCGTATATGCTAGTCTCAACGTCAGGGCTTGACGTGAAAAAACCTCCAATCTCAAATTATGTACATAGTTTGTTGAATTTTATACTGGTATCCACAATTTACGGACGCTGTGTGTGCTCGCTTGTCGTTTTACGTTAGCGATTGTGACAAAACCGCGGTTAGTCGACGCTCGTGTTTAGGCCCGGTGTACACGAGGAAAGTAAACGGTAGAGTCAACTGGTTTACTCTTCTAATCATTCCAAATATTTCACTAATTTTGTTTACTCGTACCAGTACTCAATTCCTCTGCTCTCTGTTATAGCACAGCGCTACTGTGCTACTGTCCTGTTTACTCTCTCGGTGTACACTCCGCTTTAGAATCGCGTCGCACAGTGGATACTCTCCTCAAGACTTGATATGTATAACTATAACATAATAAGGAATTTCATAAACATTTTTACGCAATACTGCAGTATGTGTAGTTATCTATAAGCACAAATAGTGAATTAATTTCAATATTGTAATTATGTTGTCTATGTGTAAGTTTTTGATTGAGGCTTTTCGTATATTTTGAATTTTCCCCACAACAGCTGGCAACAATAATATGTATATTAAATTAAATAAACAAAATAAACTTTATTTAAAAAAAATATTTTGTTTGATATTGTAGCAATTCGGTTAATAACCCTGATGATCATCATTAGTGGTACCGTCTACAAGTCAATAAGCCAGGCAAAACTGCCGGGCAGTAGCAGTGTATGAATGGTAGTATAGTATTTATGGTAGTTTTTAAGCAACTCATAGAAGAAGGTTCTCTTGGTTTTATTTTTTTTTTTGTAACCATGCTATGCTTTTTTTTATTCGCCCTCAACGCCTTTTTTCTTTTTCTTCCTTCTTTTCCCCCCAATTCTTTTCTCCATATTGCAAGTGGCGGATACCACCAATGGATTTCCAAGGAAGGTCGACCTCAAGCAAGCGGCCAGTCGTAAAACAAAATGCCAAAACCTTGGGTGTGCCTTCGGTAATATGAATCATATTATGCCGGCCCCAAATAATTGGGATAAGAAAAAAAAAATTAAATATAAAGAAAGTATGTGGAATTGGATGTTTCTAGAATGCGTGTGAAAGGAATAGTAATGAGAGTAAAGATAATGAGTGAAAGAGATGCATAATACAAGTATGATTGGTCGACGAATGAATGAAGCAAGATGGCGTTACGAGTCGAGTACTGTAAGAGTTGTGGAGCAAATAAATTTATAAAAATTTAATATAGTCTGATTTTCCGCCCACGACTTCCTACAAGTATATAAAATGTATGAATATGATGATGATGATGATGATGCTGTGCGTAGATTAAGGATAATAAGTATCTGTCTACGATATTAGCGAATATATCGCCAAATCTGAACTTATTATCTCAATTATTTTTACAATAAAGAGTACCTAATTTAGTGTTGGTTCCTTAATTTTTCTATGAAGTTTCTCCGTTTTGTGATGATGATAATTAAGTGATAGGAAACTAAAAATCTTTTTAATGGGTACCTCTCTCCCATTCGTGTTTCTTTCGCCATCAGATGCATGTCCTTATATTGGTCTCTTTCAGGATATGGCATAGTAATTACATAGTAGTACGTAGGCATACAATAGCCACGTATGATAGGGCTACCTTGAAGACTCCAGAGTATTTGGTAATCAGGTGTAAACTGTCGTTAATTAGAAATAGGTAGGGAAAAAGAATGAAACTTCAACATTAAAACTGCAATTTAATTTATTGTTTCATTATTTACAAAATGTATTAATGTTGTAATAATTAGTCTCTATAGAAGGTTTCTTATTTATTGGCACAATTATGTGCTATGCACTTTACTTTCAATGAAAAATGCTGTTTTTTTTTTTAAGTTAGGCATTTAGACTCTCCGATTATTGATAACTATATTTATTTCTATGAAAATACGCTTACTGCGTATTTCTCATATTTTCGTAACAGTTAAAAAGATTTAAAGCTATCAAAATAATAAATTTGGTACTCATATCTTACAATAACTGATACTTAAACAATAAGGGCAGTACCTACAATAATTTTATGAAATTGATATCAAATAGTCGTTTTTACAAATTCTTTTTCTAACCAAATTTTTCTATTAGTAATAACCATTATAAGTTGTACTGGAACAAAGTTAATGAGATTTCATTTGCACTATCTAATGTTCTACTTAAAAAAGATTTATTTACAATTTATATATATATTATATAGCATGGAACTACAAATCCCTTTACAATACACTTTAATTTTATAATATTCAAAGATATATCAACAACGTGGTCCAGATTTTCAGAACAGTAAACTTTTAGCTATTATTCATTAACTTCATAAACATGAGGATAGAAATCGTATATAATATAAAGTATAGATCTATAATATAAATGCGAATGATCGAATTAATTTAATTTCATAACTTGGTTAAAGGTATCTTAATTTAATATAATAAATGTAAAAATCTTTTAAGATGTTTACTATTAAATACTGTTTAAATGGCTTAATGGGTTTCTTGGTACATAGATTGAGCAATACGAGAGCATAGATAGATTTTTATTCTCGTGTGAAATGTCGGAGTATATAAACATAAAAGTGGTTATGACAAAATCAATTCATTCCAGATAATAATACCAATTCCACTGCATAAGAAGAACACCGTAGAGATTACACATTATAAAATAATAAATGTACATTAAATATTACTGAAAATCTACTTAATCTAGTAAGTCTTTCAACGATTATAACATAAATCGAGTATGATCACCTCGCCATGTATTTGGCTGACTATTATATTTTGACTTTGAGGTTATTTTGCAAATATACTTAGTTACTATTAGTAAGTAATTGGTAATCATGGGATATTAAATTTTTGATTATTAATAAACCGATGAAGTTGTTAAATATATGTCTCAATCCGAAATCTAGTGAGAGTTAACGTATTTGAATTATCTACTTGAAGAAAGGAGGATTTTATAGGAGTGGTCCCACGTTGGGCGCCAAATGGTAAATTATTGTTGCACAAAAACTAATGTCACGTATCAAGCTTTATCGAGTCAGAGCTTACCACAGTCCAAATCCTTAATAAAAACTGCTAAACTAAATACGTCATTGGTAATTAGTATGAAAGGTTTAAAAAATACTCTATCGCTGGATTTCGAATTATTGCATTAATTATCAAAACCTATTGAAGCGTCATTAAAGTTACCAAATATTAGATAATGTATAAAATTTTATTTTAGAAATAGATACCTAATTATTATATATTTAAGAACCAGTCCCATTGTCATAAAATACGATACTACTTTAAACACAATCTCAGTGTCTAATTTACATTTTGGTATTATAATTAGGTAACGTATAGGTCAGTTATTGTATTCTTATTTCTAAAACGTAGATATAGGAATGTATATATATTTTGTAATTAAATACATTATTACAGTAAATTTATAAAAAAGAGTAAAATGTAACTTAAACATAGTCAAAGGCAAGTACTCAACTAAAAAATAAGGATAGAAAAGATGGCACAACGGGATTCATAGAATCTAGTATAATCTTACCCAATTAAAACTACTAATAGCTCCTAAAGTCTTGGTTGGCAAACAATATTATTCAACACCACTCTCTTTTAAACTTACGTCCAAACTTTACTCCTCACTTCACATGAATTCAATCATTTTAAATTTCTGCTACATTATAGCACACTGCACTTTATTGCTAAACTTAAATCAGTTCGAGTCAACCGTCGACGATTATTCGATTAGATGATTCGAGTTTATACTCGTACATAAGTTATCAAATTTCACTGCTAAACGTAGATCACAGTGTTTGTGAACCATTGTCGAATAGGGTATATAGATGATTCGATTCTATCCGTCGAATAGAAGCGCACTACACTTCACTGGTAAATGCAGAAGGTCTCAGTGTTTGTAAACTTTTGTTGATACTAAATAATTGGCGTCTATTGAAAACGCCCCGCACCACATTTCACTGCTAACCGTAGATTACAGTTGTTCGTGAACAATTATCAACTACAATGTGGCCCATTAGATGTTTCGAGTCCATATATCGAGTCCACATATCGCACTTCACTGCTAAATATAGAAGATCACAGTGTAAGTAAACCAGTGTCAAATGATGTATGACCCATTGGATGAGTCTATACATCGAAAAGCAGCGCAATATTGTGCTGCGAAGGTCGTCGCTAGTAATGGTCTGGGGTGGCTCTGTATGGTGCCCGCGCGTACGTGCCGCTGCCGTATGCGCTGTCGTCGGACGGTAGGGGTCCTCGCCGCGCCGCCGCCGCCCCCGAGCCTGAGCTGGCGCTGACACTAGCGCTGTACACTGATTCGCGACGTTCAGTCACTGCCGCACCTGGAGGTTACAATAAATAACATTAGTAAGTATCTTGATTTCTCGATCTAGCTCACGAGGTTACAGTCTTGTGGGATTTACTTAACATTTTCCACCGGAAAGGGGCACCTAACACAGAGCTGGGGGAGAAGGATGGATTGTTAGTAATAGGGACATTAATTCCTATTGTTAGCAATAAACCCTATCAGGTCGATCTCCACCCGGTTTTCCCTGGAAACTACTGTGATTAAATATTGTCAAATTCGTCGCGATGGGCCGTCTAATCTGACTTTATCCTCACCTATCATTCCACACTGGTGCCCCGCCAGTGTATACCAATAGCGCGGGCAGGGTTACTATTTCATTATCATCACCCGAGCCGAAAACCACTGATATATGAGGAAAAGAATCGTTGGTAACGGAGACTAGTCGTCCCCCACCAAGCCTCCCACTACCTGAAAACCATCGTGGTTCAATCTTGAGGAAGTCATCACGATGGCTCAATAAATTTGATTTTAATGTCACTCCGTGGTGGGTACTCCGTCAGTGTATATCGATAGCGTAGGTGGAGATACCAGTCTATTATCCTTTAAAAAATACAACCGAGAACTTGGGCTCTCCTATCCATCTGGTAACAACACGCATGCATTGTGCTTAAGACTTTAACAATTTTAGCAAGGTTATATTGTTGACAATACCTTGACTTTTTCGTGTAAAGTAGAAATAGTGTATTTACACTATTTCTACTTTATTTTTAAATCAGCTATTTATTTATATCATTTTTTTTTTATAAATTATATGATTACTGTCGTTGTATGAAACAAAATTTTTACGAGCTTTTTTCGGTTTTAGACGAGCGTCGAAAAACTTTTCCGATAAAGTTATCTCAACGCGAATAAGTCGACTATTTTGTGGTCCGTTCGTTCTTCGTGGTTCATTATCTAACCAATAGATACGACGATTGATGGTATTTTATTTGCCCAATGCGATCGCTATCAGATCCAAAGCTGTAAAATATAAGACCGATCCCTACCCAAACTGTGTTACATCTGTATTAGAACGGCTTGATAATAAATGCTTTCTTCGATCGAATAAATGGAGGACTCGGTTTTATTTTATTCGAAATATTTATTTTCGCTACTCTGTAATCCTTGCGTGGAAAATGCTACCAGTACTATGGTGATTCATATACATTATTACATACCATTAACACAGATAAATAATGTAATAGATTATTATACATTAATTGAATTACTATTATTAGATTAAGATAAATTACTATAAGACGAATTTTCGTTTTTCGAATTCGAATTGGTAACTACCAATAACTACTGCGTTGACACATTGGATAACTCTATTATTAAATATAAAGATATATTAATTACTATTTCCCATCATGCAGCTTCTTTGCGTAAATATTTTTAAAAAAACAAGGAGATACGGAACACCATTCGAAATTTAAAATATTATTTGTTTTAAAAAAAATATCAAACGATGCATACTTTGTTTACGAGAAGAGATCTTGTCTTAAAACTCTCTTAAAGCAGAAAAATGGATGAATCTTACCAGCCGGTCCAGGCCTGACGCCATTGACAGCGGTGCCGTACGCGGGTTCCCGCTGCGCATTGTGCGCGTTCTGATTGTGCGTCATCGTGTGTTGGGCGTGCGTGTGTGTGAGCGTGTGCGGGTGCGCATGCGTCGGCGGCCGCAACAGCAACGACTGAGCTGCCACCAGCGGCCCGCCCGCGCCTGCCGCGCTGCTGCTTTTGCTGTACACTGATTGGGACCTGAGAAATATACATAATTTTCATAAAGTACACATATACAGGGAAGTCGAAATCATTAGATTTGTTCTACTGTGTTCTTTTTTCTGGTCGTACTAGTGAAATTGAATATTTTTCCTAAAGAAATATATTTGAAACATAATTATATAGCTATCAAGCTAGACTAGTTAAATTTGTAAGGGAAATGGGAACTCAACATTTTTACCGGTTTTCAACTCTATTTTTTTATACGATGAAGGTAGTTTACACACAAACAAGCATACACATAATACGGTAAATGCTCGCTGTAGCTTGCAAGCCCTTCGCAACAAATGCAACCCCAGAGATGTCACGTGCGTGTTGCCAACCTTGAAGATACCTTAAAATGCTAATTTTGAAGATCTCCCATACTGTAGTCTAGAGTCTGGGAAAATCCTGCTATCAATTAACTGTCGAGATCTAATCAATTACAACATCAAGAAACTGGCGAGAGGTGCGATGATAAAAGGTGAAATCGTTCCATATTCATGTATCTTTAAGAAAATTTATCAGTTTTATTGATAGATCATGCCTTTCTATAAAACAATTCTAATGATTTTGATTTCATCCTATATTTAATGTTATCGTTATAGTTATAGTACCGAACTACCTTAGCTCATGCACCTATACAATATCAGAGGCATCATTCATCATTTGGTTATTAAGTCACAATATTTCAAGACCCAGTAAAGTCACTGCAACATATCTCATCTTTTAAACCTGAATACAGCATGCAAATAAGTGTTGTTTACCTTTGTAGGTAAATTCAAAATCTTCAGACATTTTTTACGAATATGTTATTCACATTATGAATCAATCGAAAAAATAATAAGTACGTACAGTTAAAGCAGTTAAATTTGCAATAATGATGCCAGCCTCTACAAAAACATGCATTAAAAGCAGAAAATGCAACACTGAAAGCTAATTGAAGTTAGTAATGCTAATTAGCATTTCTATTTCAATAGCTGTTGTCAAATATAGCAAAACGCAATACGTGGCGTCGAAATAAGTTATGTAGATATATACAAATATTTCCTGGCTCGAATTCAATTGTAATCTCAACTACATAGTTTTGTATAAAGTTGATTTGTTAATTTTTTTATACAACTTAGAATGGCAAACAAGCTGACGGCCCACCTGATGAAAAGTGGTAACCGTCGCCTATAGACATAAGCAGTACCATGGACATAACAGAGTATACTGTTTAGCCCATGATACTCTCCATGCGTTGCCATTCCTGAGGACTCAGGTGTTATTTCTCTGTACCCTGTAAATTTACTGTCATATCCCACCCTTCAAACCGAAACACAGCCATGCCAACACAATTGCTTCACGGTAGAAACACGAATGGAACAGAAGTGCTCAAGCAAACAACTTTTGTACAAAGTCTCCCTCTAGTTATTGTAAGTCACTGCAATCTGTTTTGTTCGTACAAGAGAGATAGCAGGAACATAATTACGTGTAACAAGATGATCCTTCTGCTGACCTGTGCAGCGTGTGGCGGGTGGGCGGCGGCGAGCGGCAGTACAGCGACTTAGTGCCAGAGTACAGGGGCTCGGCGTTGTCTGGCCGGGGCGCTGTGGCTGAGCAGTACGTAGGCGCGTGCCGGTAGTGATGGTGCGATGTCGGGAAGGCCGGTTTGTCTAAGTCGTCCAGGTCACGCGGTGAGGACGCCCGCGAGTTCGAATTTACGCCGGTTCTCCTTGAGCCCCACTCGTGAAGTAGAGCGCAAGCGATCCCCCCACCTATACCGCCGACCCAGCAAACCCAGTGGCTTTCCCATCGGGACAGTACGAACGAAGGACCCAGCGATCTGGCCGGATTTAACGATGGCATCTGGAAAAAAGATGACGTTTCAATGACCTATATCTAGGTACTTATTAAGAGAATGCATTTTCATTTAGTTCTCAGGAATGGTAACATATTAAGACGAGGTCCTGTTACTACTTTCCATCAGGTGGACCGTCAATTTGTTTGTCGTTTCACAGTGTATAAAACAAAATCATCATCATCATCATCGTAACTGTCTTTAACTGTCCACTGATGAACATAGGCAAAGTCCCTCAACAGGCGGAGGTCCTTATTGACGGATTTTGCCAGTAGTTGCCAATTTTGGCAGGCGGGTTGGCAACCACAATTAGGCTTTTGTGATAGTTTAAGAGAGAAGCTGCTGCTTTTCCATGGACCATTGTCATCATAGATAAATAATTTTGTGTTCGAAGGTTGGACTTGCGGAATACATGATTAAAATAATAATAGGATTTTAGAAGTTGTAGCTAAAAACGCTTTATGTACATATAATACTTATTACAGAACAACAATGAGCACCCATCACAAATTACTTTAAATGTGACAATTTTAATATGCACGTCAAATTTGTACATATCAAATATTCCATTTATGACGACAGTAATAATTGACAAATGTCTCCGACTACCCTATTATTGATTTTTACCGTGAAATTAGTCGTGTAGGTCGCGGCATAGATTAGGCCACCCCTTCCATTGCTGTGAGTGTCGTAGGAGGTGACTAAGGGAGCTCATAGTGGAGGGACGAGCAGCAGCGTCCCTTTTAAAATATCACCAAAGGCCTAACTGCGGTTGCCAACTCGCCTGCCAAGTAACTACTGGTAAAACCCCCCTTATGGAGAAGGCATGTTCAGCAGTGGACAGTTAACGGTTGATACAACAACCCTACTATTGATTTACTAGAGGGGGGAAGGGATTGATAGTAATGGGGCCTAAGAACCCCCTTTCTAGCAATATACCCTATCAGGTCGACCTCTACGCGGTTCCCCCTAGAAACCATCGTGGTTAATTCTTGTGAACTTGTCACGATGGACTAACTGATCTGCTTTCATCCTCACCTATCATCTATCACTGGTGCCCCGCCAGTGTATACCGATAGCGCAGGCGGGGTCACTATTTAATTTTCACTCATTAAAAAAAACCCTATAATTGAATACAGTCGTGAGCATATTCAATTTCTTTTGCATGCGGTGTACAAGTTTTCTATCATCCTCGAAAAGAATGTCGAAACGGAAACGAATGTGCGATGTAAAAACCGTATCCATTGAATTGAAGGGCCTCAGCAATTATCGTACAATAGCTTCGCCTCCCAATATAATAATATATGTGCTACCTGCGCGGTACTTTACGCTCGCGAAGCGCATTTCGTCGAAGATCATCCATGGGATGGGATGTATAGAAATTCAGGTGGCTCATCAATTTAACTGTTGCGTTATAAACGTTCAAAGTACGTTGATTTGAATTTATCAAAACAAAATAAATGTTTTAATGAGCAATGCAGTATACGGTGTCATGTCATACATAGTATAATCTATAGGCAACGGTTATCACTTTTCATCAGGTGACCTTTTTCTATTTCTATGCAACTTAGAATGGCAAACAAGCTTACGGCCCACCTAATGGAAAGCGGTAACCGTCGCCTATAGACACGAGCAGTATTTTAGAGCAGTTGCCATTTTAAGTTGCGAAAAAATATTAGCTTTTGCCTGCAACTTCATACTTTTCCTTCTAGATGACATATTAGATAAAACACTACTTTCTGTAACACAACTGTGAAGACTACATTTCGGTGCAGTAGTGTTTACGTGATATGGGAACAAATATGCAAAAAAACAGACACAAAAATTGTAAAAAATATAGTTTTTGCTTCTACTACTCTTATTAAGATGTATTTCATGTATTTTTTCATGTATATATATATATATATTATCGATATATTTTTTTTTGATGGGTGAAAATGGTATGGTAACCCCGCCTGCGCTAACGGGATACGCTGGCGGAGCACCAGTGAAGGGTGATAGATGAGAATGAAAACAGGCCAGTTAGCCCATCATGATGCATTCATCAGGAATTAACCATGATAGTTTCCAGGGAGAACCGCGAGGAGGTCGACCTGATTGGGTATATTGCTAGCAATGGGGATCTCACTCTCCATTACTAACAATCCCTTTCCCCCCATTATCGATATATTAGCGATAGGGGCATCAGACCCCATTTCTAACAACCCCTTTTCCTCCAAATTTTATTGTATTAGCAAGATATATAAGATAATACTTGGTGGTAACAATACGTGCTCCCTGATTACGGTAATCCTTATTAATATTGTGCATTTTGCTTGTTGCCTATTAACTCCTTAATATAATTAATTTAAAACTTAATGAAATTTGGTATTCACATAATATCTGTATACCAAATTTCATTAAGTTTTATATTAAATTTCATTAAGAGTTTATATAATGGAGAAGGACATAGGCTACTTTTATCTCGGTCAGTAAACATATTTTAGTCACGCAGACGACCTACTTGTTATACCAACACTTTTGTGTTATTTTGAATGACTTACATTGTACTTACGAAATCTTATAACATTAGTTATTTAACGTTTTGTATAAAAATACATATCAATTCGAAGTATTATACAAGACTGTTGATTTAAAGGACGGACATTCATCTCAAACTATGGAACTGAAGATAGCAGTCTACATTTTTTTTTTTTTGTACAAATCACCACTTTTGTCCGATTGAACAGATGTAAGGACAAAAAACACTGGCAGCTGTCCTTTAAGGAGTCCACACAAAAGGCAGGTAGTGCGTCGGTCTTATATCATATGTATAGAATAGGGTTGCCATTCCGAAATTTTGTAAACCAGATAATCAAATGTAGATACATCAGAATTTTTTTTTTGTTTACTTTGTAATTGAAATAATGCAACTTAACTAAGTAATAACTTAGTTAAGTTACATTATGAAAATAAAACCTTTAAACATTTTAAACGTTCCAAACTCAAACTAAACAGAGTTTGTATTATGAGTACAAGAGAACAGGTAGAAGTAGTAGAACTAGCAAATGCTTTTTTTATACATACGCACATATTATTATATATAAAAAAGTGAAAAATATATAAGGAGAATTGAGTTAAATAACTTAAGAAAGGCAGAGCTGATTTATTAACGTATGAAATTAATTTTTTTTTATGAATGATTAATGGAATGGTAACCCCGCCTGCGCTATCGGTATACGCTGGCGGAGCACCAGTGAAGGGTGATAGGTGAATAATGAAAAAAAGCAGGTCAGTCAGCCCATCGTGATGAATACGCATGGAACTCAGCACGATAGTTTCCAGGGGGAATCGCGTGGAGGTCGACCTGACAGGGTATATTGCTAGCAATGGGACTGGTAACCCGCATTAGTAACGATCCCTTCCCCCCTGAAATTAATATTATCAAAACGTACATAGTATTTAAAATGCAAGAACTCATGCATCACTCGTGGTAAAGGTTTAGCCTTTAAAAATGATTAAGGATCAAATTTAAAAATACAGAACCTGTCTAGAAAAAAATTTACAGTCGACAACCCTAACATACAATACTGTGGATACAGATTTGAGTGGGAGTTCATACAGCCACTGTTCCTGTATCTATTGGGTTTCACGTTACGAATAGAGATTTAAGACCTTTGTACTAGACGATAGATCTAATAGAATGGTATTCTATAAACCAAACCTATTAGATATTCCTCTTTTGTATTCTCATCCTTAGGACGTCTTTGTTCTGAATATTTAATCTTACCTACGGTAGGCATTTGCTTTTATTTAATTTTGGAATGATAATTGCGAGTGAGAAATTCATAGTTTAAGTGATTCCAATATTAGAATGGGAGATAATGGGGCCAATTCTGAAGTGTCATTTTCTTAGACCTATCTTTTAACGTAATATTTTAATTTATTTAGCGAAATTACTGATTTATTGACTATCATAAACGAAAATTATAATAATTTTAAGTTCAGTTTACTAGAACATTAGTTCATATTGGTCCTTACAAAAATAAATCGTAGTGATATCAAATAGAAATTTTAATTTTAGAGACTTAATTTAAAAAAAACGGTGCTTCAGAATCGATCCCATTACTTATCAAGGGAACAATAAAAACGCAACGCAGGAGGCATTAATTTTAAACTTTTGATTGTTTCTGCAATAAGCATTCTTTATATATGTAGGTACTGTACTGTAAATTATGGTAACGTATTAATCGATTCGGCGACAGTTGAGTTGGACAATGTGACTGCGTTATAGAAATTCTGAGATCGAATCTCAGTCTAAACTTTTTTTTTAGTATGTTTGTTCCGTCGTGGAACAGGCTAAGGTCGGAGACTATGCTGCCTAGTCTTCAATATGATTATTTGTCTGGAATTCAGTCTAAATTTTTGAATTAATCAAATTAGTTTTTTTTTTTTTTTTTTAAATAAAAGACGTACATATATGTACTCTCAAACATGTCTTTGTGGAGTTACACTCAGAAGGTGTGGGTATCAGAAAATTCTAGCCACTGCTCACTCGACCTATATCTTCATGTATAAGTAAAGCAGCCTAGTAACTTGTCACTAGAGGGAATGACTCTCACACGAGTAGTAGTTAGTAATGAATTAAATCTTTGGTATGTTACCAAATATATTTATGCCTGTACTAATACTAGTATATATTATTATTATGTACGAGTATCTATCTATCTATCTATCGTACGCCATAAGTTTTTGTCCTTATTTCAATTTACAGCCTCCCTAAAAATATCCTCGAAGAAACTTTATGGAACAAGGTAATTACCATGTTACTATTGAAACATTACAAATAATTACCACCTGCGATAACAACAATATAATGTTTTGGGACAAAGGGATATAGTGATGAAGTTAGTTTTTGGACCGTGCTCTACAAAGTTATTTATCTAAGCTCAACGGTTACGTTACGTGCTACACAGAATCGAATCATTTTCGAGTACCTCATACAAACGTCGCGGTTATGTAAAATATATTAATGTTTAGGCTTGTTTCTGCGTGAAAAATGAATATTATCAGTAAACTATGAGGTGTAAGATCGAAAAAAAAATATTTTATCTATGTTGTAAGTATACGGTAATAAAGCTTACGGAAACGAAGCTGGCCGCGCAATAAGCGACGCCAAGGAGTGCGGGCGCGGCGCCTGTCCACCGCCTCTCCATGGCTGCGAAGTACGCGCCAGCGACGAGCCCTGACAGCACCAGCTCTGCTCCGAGCCGCTCCCAGGCTGCAGCCCCACCGCCAGGCAGCGACGCTGACAGGCTTCCCGCGTATCCCGGCACGCTTACGCTGCAATAAATATTTTTATATTAAATAATACATAAACACATAGTTGTATGGCAGATTTTTGTCTTTTTTTAGGATTTAATACTAAAATTAACAAAAATTCGCACAAAGGAATACTTATGGTTAAACTTTGCCAGTCGAAGGACTGACAACGGTGTACCATATAATTAGCGATGATGGAATCATCACCGCACTATATCTTATTTTAGTTATTTATATAAATAAATGTCTTAACAAGCAATTACTAATGTTATAAATATCATTTTGATATTTAGAATAATTTTAGATATTGTTGGTCAAGGGATGTTCAAAATTGGCCTGCTACTAGTCCAAGTGATGTATGTATCACATGAAAGGGTTTCATTTGTACATTTTATAACTGTTTTATTTTTTTGTAGCAAAATTTTTCACTTATGATAGACAATGTGCAAAAATCTCCTTATTTATCAACAAAGTGTAGGAAGCAAAAATTGTAGTATGAAACTAATACGGCAGTAAACTTTTTTGATTGAAGAAAGTCATTTTAGACATACATATATAGATATACACACAAAAAGTACTCTTTTAAAAGTACTTACATAATTGATTATAACTAGTCTGGCTATAATGTTACATAAAAAAATATTTTTTCATCTTTTTAATTATTTTGAATTTGGAACACGTTTATTATTGTAAAAACTTCTTTTGATTTCGCGTCATTTCACATTTTTTTCGTGTTCATTATCAAATTACAATATGGAGTGGGGTGTTACACAAAGTGGGTATGTAGCTTTTATTTTTTGCCGAGGCTTTAATAAATATGTGGGTATAAATTTTAGTAATATTACATTACTTCATAAAAAGCAACATGTATTTTCATTTGTTACAGAACTTTTTTTTTTATACAACTTAGAATGGTTAACAAGCGGACGGCCGACCTGATGGAATGTGGTAACCGTCGCCTATAGACATGAGCAGTACCATGGACATAACAGAGTATACTGTTTCGTCCATGATACCCCCATGCGTTGCTATTCCTGAGGACTCAGGTGTTATTTCTCTGTACCCTGTAAATTTATTGCCATATCCGACCCTTCAAACCGAAACACAGCCATGCCAACACAATTGCTTCACGGTAGAAACACGAATGGGACAGAGGTACCCAAGCAATCGACTTTTGTACAAAGTCTCCCTCTATTAAATGGCTTATGGCTGGACTAGGTATATATGTAATCGAAGTTATAACAATTCTTGTCTCCAACTTATTACATGAAGAATTATATCACTTGACTATCCTATCCTATATTTGAAATCAGAACTCCGCACGTAAGAAAGTAATAAAAATAACGTATAGGTAGATAAAAGTTGAACAACTTTGGTCGTAACGTTACTGCAGTGATTGAGGTGTGATCGATTCTAGTTGGTAAGTATAATATATACTAGCGGGGGCAAGGGATTGTTAGTAATGCGGACTACCAGTTTCATTGCTAGCAATATATCCTATCAGGTCGACCTCCACGTGGTGCCCCCTGGAAACCATCGTGTTGGATTCTATATGTATTCATCACGATGGCCTAATTCACCTGCTTTTTCATTCTCGCCTATCATCCCTCACTGGTGCCCCACCAAACTGTCATCATCATCATTATTGCGGCCATTATTCGTCCAAACTCCATATAATTTGTGCTAGTATTTTTAAACCAACAAATTTACACAAAATATTAAACTATACGTATAAACCTTCTTATTAAATCACTCTATGTATTGTTGAATACCACAAAAATTGAGCGAGATGTTTTTAGCGGGAATCGTGTAGAGGTCGACTTGATAAGAGACATTGCTAGCAATGGGCCTGTTAGATCCTCATTACCAGCAATATTTCTCCCGTCTGTATGTTTGTTTCGACATCATTACGCAAAAAATATTGCATTTAATTGGATGTAGTTTTCTTTACAGTTGTATTTCTGAAGGTGTAAGTAAAAATATGGTGTGTGTGTGCGTGCGTGCGTGCGTGCGTGCGTGCGTACGTGCGTGCGTGAGTGCGTGCGTGCGTGCGTGGGTGCGTGCGTGCGTGCGTGCGTGCGTGCGTGCGTGCGTGCGTGCGTGTGTGCGTGCGTGCGTGTGTGTGTGTGTTATCTTGATATGCTATTTAGAAATGATTACTTCTAAAATCCATCCATACGAAGTTGCGACCAAAAGCTAATTAAAATATAAAGTAATTTGTTCTTCAGGTTTCACAAGTAAACATTTTTACGTTTTAAACAAAAAAAATTAGGAAGTTGGATGTATTGGATATAACTTAGTGCGTAGGGTTACCTTTTTCAAGTACCTATGAGTAATCTTTTATTTTTAGGGTCTTCTAAGGTTCATCGATAGCTCAATATTTTTGTGTCGGTCAATATGCTAACCTACAGATTATTATTAGATGAGGGAGGTGCGTGGGTACCTGTCGAGGGAAACACGTCGACTGACTTCTGATGTCACAGTTATGACGTCAAAGGAAAGCTTTCGTTTGTAAATACAGGGGAGTGTAGCCTACACTTGTTCTTTACTAATTTTCTACATTCTACATAATACATTTTGAGAGTATTTTAAACAGCTTTCGAAAGGAAGAGATTCTTAGAAATCTGTATTTGTTTTTGTGCGTATGTCAATAAAGTAGGAGTATCTTTGTTTTTTTTTTCTATTAAATTTAACCTAACCTACAAAAAATAGGGGGGAAGGGATTGTTAGCAATGTAGTTTGCCACCCCCTTTGGTAGCAATATGCTTTATTAGGTTGACTTCCACGTAGTTCCCCCTGGAAACCATCGTGAACAATTCTTGTTGAATCCGTCACGATGGGCTAACTGACCTACTTCATCATCTATCATCCTTCAGTAGCGCCTCACCGGTATAAACCGACAGCGCGGTGGGGTTATCGTTCCATTATCACCCATTAAAAAAAAAACCCTCCAAAAATATGCATAATTGAATTAATTAATTAAAAATTGCAACAATTTAAAACGTTTATTTTGTGCAATACAGTTTAATTATTTTGTAAATGTGCCCTCAATTGGAGCCTATACTATCATTCTTTTGGAATTTTTGTGCTCATTAATTAACAATTAAACAAGTTTATAATCAACATACATTTCCAGATTTTTGGAAGCAAACGCAGCTGTCGACAAAGTCGGTTCAAGTGGGGTCAACTCGACAGGATATGCAAGATACGACACTGCGGCTCAAAACATCTGCTGGGTGTCATTGACATTGTGATAGCGTAGATCACTGCAGACGAGGAAACTGGGCCAATTGGACACGTTTATATTTCTCCAAAGGATTTTGTATTTTTCTAGGTACATATAGAAAATTTATTTGTATGTACGAAAACAAAAATTTTGTCACTTTCTTTATTCTTCAAGTAGTTTTTTGCTCGCTACTTAGTGTGCATAGATTTTGGAACTAAAAAAGTAAATAAAATAAATCACTTCTTAAGTTAAGATTTATCACTTGTTAAATCTTATGGAACAAATATGAAAATTAGGTTCAATTTGGCGTAATAGTTTATACTTGATGCTGAAACAAACATTCAGACAGACAGATAAAAATTAAAAAATATATTGTTTTGACTTTTTTTTTTATTAAGACTACTCATATTATTTTTTCTTAAATATCTCCTATATACAAACATGATCTAGTTACATTTTTTCTATAGGAATAAGGTGACTTGATCCCAATTAACACTTGATCCATCTAATTTTTTGTGCGGCCTATTTGTTTTATAATTGCTGTTTGAAACTGTGTGTATAGATCTTAAACTTAGTTTTTATAACTGGGGTAATATAAGTCTATAATATAGATGTTATCTAAAACAGCTTCTATAATAGGAACTGCTGTTGACAGTTGGCTGTGATCATTTTGGATAATAATTAAATTAACTCTTAATTTAAACGCACTTTCTAACTTTATATTTTCCTGGAAATTTTTAAGTAAAATGTTTATAGATAGAGTAAATACCTTCAATACTAAATATTTTAGTGCTATACTTAATAGTACGTATTATATTATTATTATATGTAACTTTAGATTATAGTGTCTCCATAGAAATGCTTCGTGAAAAATGGATCAACTTTTTCATACAATTTTGCTTGGTGAATAGTTATGAGTGATTCCTTTATAACTTCTTTATTTATTTTGTCTTATACATTCTGCATCTTTTTAATTCGTAAACACTCATTTTATTTGTTAAATAATACGCCAAGGTACATTTTATACGTAAATATATAAAATACTAAAAAAAAAAGAAGCTGATTTGAGACAATTAACTGACAAAAGTTGACCTGTTTTTGAGGCTCGATGCTCTATATAATCTAAGTATGTAACAAATACGAAAGAGAATTTGTTAAGGGCTTTTTGACGAATTTGTGGTTCTACCAATTATCTTGAACTATTGTTTTATTTTTACTATATAATCTTTGAGACTATTTAGTTAAAACTTGAGCTAGTTTTTATCCCGACCACGCGGGCGTAGTCACGGACACAGATATTAGTAGGATTCTACGATTAAATTATTCAATGTAAAAAAAAAATCTAATTTCTTCACGTCAACATTGTCTGAGATCTCATAATAATAATCTCATAAAGCTACGAATATTATTCATAAAATTAGAGAGACATTGACTGAAGATGGAAATTTACATAACCACTGACTTAAACTTAACTGATTTTTATCTAAAATGAATTTACGAAATAAAAATGACGATGTAGAATTTTCTTTATTAATACTCTGTCTACAGCTATTGAAGTATTTATATCTACGTCACAGAATAGAAGGAGATGACGTGAACAAAATGTATAATCTCATTTCTCAATATTGTTTAATGTCAACATCAAAAATTCTAAACTATTAGAAATCAAGATACTAAAATCATTTTTGTGTATTTACCTGGAACACTCAGGTTATGGAATAAGCTCCATGCCGAGGTTTTCCCAAGAGACTACAGCATGGGGTTCTTAAAAGAGGGGTAAAGGAGTTTCTTCAGT